TTACATTTTCAAGTATTTTTACATTGATCTTTGGACTGTCATAGCTGAAACTCTTCTGTCACGTGTCAAACGTCTTATGGACTGAGTTAGATCTTTTCTAATTGGTCTCTTTAGATTTAAATTGAAATGATGATCCCTCTTGCTGTCGTGACCCCTTGATTCAGTTTTACGTTCGACTGTTACCTGCTTTTTAAAACTTATTCACCGTTCTCTGGATGGTTCGTGAATGGACATTGAAGATGGAAGCCAAAATATGAATGTTGGTACCATTACTGAAGGTCTGAATAATTTTTTCCTCTCACCATTGCTCAGTTGGGAATATATAGTGGCGCTGATAAATCGTGTCGAGTTGTCTAAACGTCTTATTTGAAAACCAAGGAAAAAGAAAAATCAATTAGTTTATTGTTTTTTTTTTTAGATCTTAAATATTTTGTGGAATGGGCAATTATGATGTTACACGATTTGGAGAATTTTACTGTAACATGCAGTATATTTAAAAGACTTTTTTTTCACAGCATTAAGGATTGGAACCATTTTGCCGGGACAAAATTGGTTCAAACGAAGGAAACACATTCTTCTTAACGATCCCGATTATCCAGGGCTTCTAAAATAACCAGAGCAGTGAAAAGAAATTCGAAAGATAATTTGACGGACGCACATTCTATTATTTTTTTCAATGATGCAATCAAACAAGTGCATCGGTTCCAGCAAATCTTTTATGACGGTATTAAACCATATTTAGTTTGGTTTTGTTTATTTTGTTTTACGGCATATCAACCTCAATGGGTTATTTAATGCCGACAAGATTTTTAGGATAGATTCATATGAATAGAATATGTATTCTTTGGTTTAGATTGGTTTGGTTTATTTTGTTTTACGGCATATCAACCTCAATGGGTTATTTAATGCCGACAACATTTTTAGGATAGATTCGTATGAATAGAATATGTATTCTTTTTAGATTGGTTTGGTTTATTTTTGTTTTACGGTTTGGTTATTTAATTTTTTAGTAGATTCATATGAATAGAATATGTATTCTTTGGTTTAACCTTACATATCAACCTCAATGGGTTATTTAATGCCGACAACATTTTTAGGATAGATTCGTATGAATAGAATATGTATTCTTTGGTTTAGATTGGTTTGGTTTATTTTGTTTTTAGGCATTCAACCTCAATGGGTTATTTAATGCCGACAAGATTTTTAGGATAGATTCGTATGAATAGAATATGTATTCTTTGGTTTAGATTTTTGTTTCAACCTCAATGGTTTTTAAGAAGATTTTTAGTTTGGTTTATTTTTTGGTTTTTGGTTTGGTTTATTTTGTTTTAACATATCAACCTCAATGGGTTATTTAATGCCGACAACATTTTTAGGATAGATTCGTATGAATAGAATATGTATTCTTTGGTTTAGATTGGTTTGGTTTATTTTGTTTTACGGCATATCAACCTCAATGGGTTATTTAATGCCGACAACATTTTTTAGGATAGATTCGTATGAATGGAATATGTATTTTTGTTTTGATTGGTTTGGTTTATTTTGTTTTATTCAATGGGTTATTTAATGCCGACAAGATTTTTAGGATAGATTCGTATGAATAGAATATGTATTCTTTGGTTTAGATTGGTTTGGTTTATTTTTGTTTTTTGTAGCATATTAACCTCAATGGGTTATTTAATGCCGACAACATTTTTAATAGATTCATATGAATAGAATATGTATTCTTTGGTTTAGATTTTTGATTTATTTTGTTTTATGGCATATCAACCTCAATGATTTAATGCCGACAACATTTTTAGGATAGATTCGTATGAATAGAATATGTATTCTTTGGTTTAGATTGGTTTGGTTTATTTTGTTTTACGGCATATCAACCTCAATGGGTTATTTAATGCTGTCAAGATTTTTAGGATAGATTCGTATGAATAGAATATGTATTCTTTGGTTTAGATTGGTTTGGTTTATTTTGTTTTTACGTCAATTTATTTAATGCCGACAACATTTTTTAGGATAGATTCGTATGAATAGAATATGTATTCTTTGGTTTAGATTGTTTGGTTTATTTTGTTTTATCATATCAACCTCAATGGGTTATTTAATGCTGTCAAGATTTTTAGGATAGATTCGTATGAATGGAATATGTATTCTTTGGTTTAGATTGGTTTGGTTTATTTTGTTTTACGGCATATCAACCTCAATGGGTTATTTAATGCTGTCAAGATTTTTAGGATTTCGTATGAATGGAATATGTATTCTTTGGTTTAGATTGGTTTGGTTTATTTTGTTTTAATATCAACCTCAATGGGTTATTTAATGCCGACAACATTTTTAGGATAGATTCGTATGAATAGAATATGTTTCTTTGGTTTAGATTGGTTTGGTTTATTTTGTTTTACGGCATATCAACCTCAATGGGTTATTTAATGCTGTCAAGATTTTTAGGATAGATTCGTATGAATGGAATTCTTTATTTTTTGGTTTGGTTTGGTTTGATTTTACGGCATATTTTGGGTTTTTAATGCCGACAACATTTTTAGGATAGATTCATATGAATAGAATATGGGTTTAGATTGGTTTGATTTATTTTGTTTTTGATATCAACATTTTTAGGATAGATTCATATGAATAGAATATGTATTCTTTGGTTTAGATTGGTTTGGTTTATTTTGTTTAACGGCATATCAACCTCAATGGGTTATTTAATGTTGACAACATTTTTTATTGCTGGTAATATTTTGTTTTGTCAAAAATCTGTGTCTTGTAATATTTTTCCTTCAAAATTGTATTGCTGGTAATAACTTTAAAAACGTATTTTCCTGAGGAATTGCTTTAGTAGAAAGATTTTTATAAATACTAACCAACAGTATCACCGGCTGCTCGGTCAATGAATGCCAAATGTTTCCTTATAAGGAAACGGTTAATGTTATCGTTAGAGATGAGATGAACAGATACTAAACTTTGATCTCAGCCCGATAGCCAGGGAGGGAGGAAAAGTTTAAATCGAGTAGCACTAGTTGCTCGGTCAATGAATGCCGAATGTTTTCTTATAAGGAAACGGCTAATATTACCGTTACCATAAAACAGACCTGAACAAAGCGGGAGAAAGAGAGAGAGACAAATAAGCTTAGATATAGAAAGATAAAGACCGGGATAGACTGACAGAGATAGAAACATACTAATCAGTCTGAGAAAGGGAGAATATTGATATTACACACTGCTACAAATAAAAGGTTAGGAAGGAAAGACCGAACAGTACTGGAAAGAGCAATAACAGCTACTGGATAATGTTAGTATTAGCATTAGAGATGATGAGAGTAAATACTGTGCTTTGATCCCAGCCCGATGACCAGAGAAAAACTTAACTCGGGTAGCACTGGATGCTCGGTCAATGAATGCCGAAATGTTTCCTTATAAGGAAACGGCTAATAACACCATTAAAGATAAGAAGGATAGATAAAACAAATGGTATTTACTCCTCCTGCCTCCCGACACGTTGACGGGATTTGACACAAACCCGGTTTAAAGGAAACCCAAGCGCGTGCACATGGGCCAAGTTCAAAAATTGCCCAGTCCCCGCAACCAACGTCGCGCTGGTATCGATATCTCACCGACCCTCTTTCTTTGGTGCAATGAGGTAGGTGCTGCCGCGGGTTTGGAATCCCCGGTACCAGGCATCCCTCATTTATTTGTTGTGCTCTATCCAAAGACAGAAATACTATTGAGAGATAAAACGTAGTTTGGCCGCCCGAAGGCAGATACTGTCGCCTCCACGCTGGCAGGATGTGACACAATGTCAGTTTGATGTGGGGAGTCCGAGAGCTTGCACCCGGGACAGCTCCAAACAATAGCCCAACTCCCGCAACCGTCGATTGCGCTAGCATCGGTATTACTACCGCTTATCTCCTCTTTAGAGCAATGAGGGAGGTACTGCCACGGGCTGCTAATCCCCTGGAACCGGACACCTTTCAATAATTTTTTTAGTTGCGCTCAGCCCGAAGACAAAGACTTAACTGAGTTGCGCTCCGATCCCGGCCCGAGTGAAGAAAAGCGTAGTGAGTACCACTGGCTGCTGAGTCAATGAATGCCGAATGTTTCCTTATAAGGAAACGGCTAATATTGCCGTTACCGTAAAATAGACATGAATAAAGTGAGTGAGAGAGAGAGAGAGAGAGAGAGAGAGAGAGAGAGAGAGAGAGAGAGAAAATTAAACTTAGATATAGAAAGATACAGATCTGAATAGATTGACAGAGATAGAAACACACTAATGATTCTGAGGGGAGGAGAATGTTGATATTCCACACTGCTACAAATAAAAGGTTAGGAAGGAAAGACCGAGCAGTACTGGAAAGAGCAATAACATTTACTGGACATTAAAAACTTGGAAAACTAATTTTTGGGGGGAAAGGAAACGGCTAATGTCAGCCCTACCATGAGGAGATGAGAAGAACAGGCGGTACGATTTGATTCCATCCCTATGGCCAGGGAGTGAAGAAAAGCGTAACTCGAGTCATAATGTCTGCTCGGTCAGTTAATGCCAAATGTTTCCTTATAAGGAAAAGGCTTTAATAGCGCTTAGCGTTCCCTCTAAAACTCCAGTGTTTTCTCTTCTTTGGGAACGACCGCGTAAATCCCAGGTTGTGTAAAGAAATAAACGAGACATTTTATTGGCTCTTAGATAAAATGGCAACCCGTTGGTCCCCAGCCAAGAACCTCCAATTCCGAGTAAAAGCGGGGGCGGGGGGAGAGATGGAGTAGCAGAAAGAAAGATAAAGAGGTGATTGAATTATAAACAGACACGCATGATGTCGGCCATGATGGATGTTGAGTAGCCGGTGTCTGAACCTCTCTGATGTGACAGTCATTATTTGAACAATAAACTCTTTAATAAGATTTGGCGTTATAAAAATTGAGGTCCTTCCAGATAATGAGGTTGCTTCAAAATTGACTTGAATTCCTCTTTTGTTTATTAAAGTTCCATTTTGCTTTGATGATACTCGATGGCTGGCTATCCACCTAACTATCTAATTCTGTTCACATCAATCTATCTCTGTTCATTATCTATCTATCTATCTATCTATCTATCTATCTATCTATCTCATTCTGTTCACATCAGTCTATCTCTGTTCATTATCTATCTATCTATCTATCTATCTATCTATCTATCTATCTGATTCTGTTCACATCCATCTCAGTCTATTCATTATCTATCTATCTATCTATCTATCTATCTATCTCATTCTGTTCATATCAGTCTATTCATTATCTATCTATCTATCTATCTATCTATCTATCTATCTATCTCATTCTGTTCATATCAGTCTATTCATTATCTATCTATCTATCTATCTATCTATCTATCTATCTATCTATCTCATTCTGTTCACATCAGTGTATCTCTGTTCATTATCTATCTATCTATCTATCTATCTATCTATCTATCTATCTATCTATCTCATTCCGTTCATATCTATCTATCTATCTATCTGCTCATTACCCCTCTTTATCTTTCTATCTAGCTTCTTTTCGACCTCTCTTTGTATTTGTGTCACTCTGTCCTCCATCTATCTGTTTGCTGTCGCAGCCCATCCAAGTGGTCGTATTTTTTCAATTAATTGTTCACCAAATACAAGGCCCAAGGGTCACTCAAGTTAGAATGTTACTAAATTAAGTTGAAAATTCTACTTCAATTCTATACTTCTAATGTCTCCGTCTAAACTCTGAAATTTTATTTCATTTTATTTTTTCCACAATAGTAGAGTGGTTAGTCTATCGTCCGTTTCATACTCCTCCTCACACTTTTGATTGAGTTTCTGGTTTCTTCTAAAGTATTCATGTTCTCTTCTAATCCCTGTTGTTCCTTGCGTCTTAGTGGCATTATCGCCTTGATTTGAGCTGAATTGATTAAAAAATGTTACTTGCTGATTTCTTCTATTGCTCTTACTTTAAAAAAAAATCATTTTATACCACGTTACTTAGACCCAAGTCGTTACTGAGTGTTAGAAAATATCAGAAATACTGCAATTAATGAGAGAGAACAATGAAAGAACAAGAATTAAGAAGACAGAAGATAAAAATTGACATTGCATTTAAACTTTTGAAGATCAAAGTTGACTGGAGAGCAAGAATCCAGAAAAGAGTTCCACAAGTGAGAAGTGCTATAGAAGAAACTGTTAACATAGAACTTACATCTATCAATTTCAATTTTAAAATGATGAGACCTAGCCGCCAATCTAGTATTGCACTTAAATTCATAAAGTTTAAGTTCCATAAAGGAAAGTGTTAATTAGTATAATACAAAACGAGGCATAAGGCCAAAAAAGAGGAATGGGGAAAAGGCAGGTCTTAACCCTAACCCTAGCCACAGACACTGACCCAAACATACCACAATATTCCTTACATCAAAACAACGCTTTCTTACTTACCTTTTTTACTACACTCACCATAATACCTCATTGTCTCTATGAAAATCCTAACTAGTCCCTATATGTACAATTCATTGTCTGTTGGGGGAGGGGAGTAAAACAACAATTTAAAATCTAGCCCCAATAAGGGAAAGTGATATTTATTCTGTAAAATACAGAAATGTGGCACAAGGCCGAAAAGGGGATTGGGAAAAGGACGGTCTTCTTCTGTCTTAACTATAACTTAGCTAGCCGCAAGCACTGACCCAATAAGGGAAAGTTCATCAGAACAATTGCCATGAAAATATTTATAGAAAAGTCACGGGGAAATACGTTACTGTAGTGGGAAAATGTCTGAAGCCGAGATGCCAGGTCAGGACTAATAACATTGCAGATTCTTCTTTGGATTACATCAAGAATTTCTAAATATTATAGCAGGAGCACCAGATCATATGTGGCAGCAATATTCAAGGCAAAAATAAATTGTAGACTTATAAATATGTAAGATAGATTCTGGTGATAAAAATTTGTCTTAGTGGCTTTATTTCCAGTAGTCTAGTACTGCTCTTAAATTCATAAAGTCTAGGTACCATAGAGGAAAGTTCAATAGAACAATTACCACAAAAGTATTTATAGGAAACATACAGAAAAGCTATGTTGCGGAGGTGGGTATTAACACTCACTTTCCTGTGGGTGTTAAATATTCCGAGCCTTTTTTTCTCATTATGTGTCTAAAACATTTCAGTCGTCGTTTACTGATTGTTACCAAGAATTTCTTTGCTGATGTCCATCATTTCCATTTTCTAGTGCATTTTCTTCTAATTTCACCTTTAATCTTGTCATGAAATATTTATATTCTATTACAGGATTTTGATTCTGACTTCTTTTCTCCAAATCCTTTCCTTTGCAATGTTTTCTCTTAGAACTTTAAAAAAAAATTATTTACAGACAATACAAGAAAAAAAAAAAACTGAAACAGGCCATCTAAAATTAAATATACTTCTTACATTTATAACAAAATGGCAGCTCATTCGATGTGGTACCGTGAAGTCCTCGATATCGATCTGATCTAAAAAGTATATAGTTACTAATAGAAAGAAAAGGTCATTTGGTTTTTTCTTTCTTTTTCTTTTTTTATTATTATACATTGTTTTGCAGTTTTTTCTTGCTTTTTTTCCCCAGATTTCTTTCTTTGTACATTGTGTTGTACACGTTTCTTTCTTTCTTTCTTTCTTTCTTTCTTTGTATTTAGCGTTGCAGACTTATCTATTAGTGCATTCTTTCTTTTTATTTTCTCCATTCTTTCTTTCTTTCTTTTACATTATGTTACATATTACTATTTGTTCCCATCTATCTATCTATCTATCTATCTATCTATCTATCTATCTATCTATCTATCTATCTATCTCAGTCTGCTCCTGTCTACCTCAGGCTGTTCGTATCTATCTATCTATCTATCTATCTATCTATCTATCTATCTATCATTGACATTTCATTATCTATCTATCTATCTATCTATCTATCTATCTAGCTATCTATCTAGCTAGCTAGCTAGCTAGCTCTTTCTTTCTCATTCAATTCTGTTTCTTTGTTTTATGTGTTTCTTTCTTTCTCAGACTGTCCATATCTATCTATCTATCTATCTATCTATCTATCTATCTATCTCAGTTCTCTTTTCATATCTATCTATCTATCTATCTATCTATCTATCTATCTATCTATCTATCTATCCCAGTTCTCTTTTCATATCTATCTATCTATCTATCTATCTATCTATCTATCCCAGTTCTCTTTTCATATCTATCTATCTATCTATCTATCTATCTATCCCAGTTCTCTTTTCATATCTATCTATCTATCTATCTATCTATCTATCTATCTATCTATCTATCCAGTTCTCTTTTCATATCTATCTATCTATCTATCTATCTATCTTTTGTTTGTTTGTTTCTTTCTTTCTTCCTTATGCAGACATTTAGAGCTTTTTTTTCAGCATGTTTACTTTTTATCCTTTTTCTTTCATGTTTTTTTGTTCTTGTTTGTTTCTTTCTTCATTATTTAAGCCTTCTTCCTTTCTTTCTTGCTTTCTTTCTTTCTTTCCTCGTTTTTTATATTATTTATATAATTTAAATCATTCATATAGAACATTCTTTTCAGACTCATCTTTTTCTTTCCTTTTTTTCTGTTTCCTTCTTTTTTTCTTAATGATGTACATTTTTTCTTTCTTCATAGTTTAAACTATTTCTTTCTTTCTTTCTTCCTTCCTTTCTTCCTTCCTTTCTTTCTTTCTTTCTTTCTTTCTTTCTCCGTTTTTATATTATTTATATAATTTAAATCATTCATATAGAACATTCTTTTCAGACTCATCTTTTTCTTTCCTTTTTTTCTGTTTCCTTCCTTTTTTCTTAATGATGTACATTTTTTCTTTCTTCATAGTTTAAACCATTTCTTTCTTTCTTTCTTCCTTTCTTCCTTTCTTTCTTTCTTTCTTTCTTTCTTTCTTTCTTTCTTTCTTTCTTCCTTTGTTTCTTTGTTTCTTTCTTTCTTTCTTTCTTCCTTTCTTTCTTATATTCGTATTAAAGAAACTTACAACTATAAGACTGTAGCGACGTCTGTCAACCAGTGCTTTTAAGAGCGCACTTCCTTTGCAGATGGCAACGTGATCTCGAAAATCACTGCAAATCTCGTCTACACTTATCGTCGGTTCTCGCGCGCTTGAATGGGGACTAATCACAAACTAACTGTCGCCATCGCTGATAACTGACATTTTCGTGATTTTCAGCCAGTCACTCGTTTCATTTCTCCTTTCTTGTCTAATTTCGCCCCCTTTGAGGAAAGAGACGGCGCGTTGTTTGAGGGTCAAACACCGAGGACAATCCCCTCATTGTCGGCGATAAAAAGGATGATGGTTAATCTCGCGTGAGGAAAAGTGTAGGATGCGAAACGCAGGCAGATGTGTAACGCTGACCTATGGCAATTCACCATCAAGCATTAAAAGCCATAGCACTTAATGAAACGCTGGGATCGATGTATCGATTCGATTGGTGTAAATGTGAAAAAAAGTTATCACTGATTTTACGTGAGGAATGATGAGTGGTTTGACCTGGTCTGACCCAGGTTAACTCTCTCCAAGGTTAGTTTGGGGTAAGAAGAACCGGTTAGTGTCTCGTTTCCTAGACGTCACCAGCTCCAGCCACTTGTACTAAACCAGCAAAATATAAGATATTAATCCAGCTGCTGAAGTCGAAGAATAATGTGTTTGGATCACATTGTGGTAAAAATAATCAAGTAAAACAGGAATCTAATTTCTGATACATATGGCATTCCAAAAGTAAAATAATTTGTAAAAGTTTCTATTGAATTCTTTTATTAAAACAATTTCCATTGAATTCTTATAGCAAAATAATTTCCATTGAATTCTTAGACTAAAATAATTTCCATTAAATTCTTAGACTAAAGTAATTTCCATTAATTTCTTACACTAAATTAATTTCCATTAAATTCTTATAGTAATTTCCCTTAAATTCTTATACTATAGTAATTTCCATTAAATTCTTAGACTAAAGCAATTTCCATTAAATTCTTAGACGAAAGTAATTTCAATTAAATTCTTGTAGCAAAGTAATTTCTATTAAATTCTTATACTAAATTAATTTCCATTAAATTGTTATAGCAAAGTAATTTCCATTAAATTCTTATAGCCAAGTAATTTCCATTAAATTCATATGGCAAAGTAATTTTCATTAAATTCTTATACTAAAGTAATTTCCATTAAATTCTTGTAGCAAAGTAATTTCCATTAAATTCTTATTGCAAAGTAATTTCTATTAAATTCTTATACTACAATAATTTCCATTAAATTCTTGTAGCAAAGTAATTTCCATAAATTTCTTATACTAAATTAATTTCCATTAAATTCTTATAGTAATTTCTATTAAATTCTTATAGCAAAGTAATTTCCATTAAATTCTTATACTAAATAATTTCTATTAAATTCTTATAGCAAAGTAATTTCCATTAAATTCTTATACTAAATTAATTTCCATTAAATTGTTATAGCAAAGTAATTTCCATTAAATTCTTATAGCCAACTAATTTCCATTAAATTCTTATACTAGAGAATTTGCCATTAAATTCATATGGCAAAGTAATTTCCATTAAATTCTTATAGCAAAGTAATTTCTATGAAATTCTTATACTAAAGTAATTTCGATTAAATTCATGTAGCAAAGTAGTTTCCATTAAATTCTTATAGCAAAGTAATTTCCATTAAATTCTTAGACGAAAGTAATTTCAATTAAATTCTTGTAGCAAAGTAATTTCTATTAAATTCTTATACTAAATTAATTTCCATTAAATTGTTATAGCAAAGTAATTTCCATTAAATTCTTATAGCCAAATAATTTCCACTAAATTCATATGGCAAAGTAATTTCCATTAAATTCTTATACTAAAGTAATTTCCATTAAATTCTTGTAGCAAAGTAATTTCCATTAAATTCTTATTGCAAAGTAATTTCTATTAAATTCTTATACTACAATAATTTCCATTAAATTCTTGTAGCAAAGTAATTTCCATAGGTTCAGAAATCGTCCCCTAGTGACGTTTTCTTTTTAAAGTAAGTGGGGTAACTACACAGGTGTTGAGACAAGCATTCATGCGCGAGGGAGATAGACAAAGTGTCAGTTCTTGAGAAAAAGCTGTCTGAGTGGAACTTCCTCTTTACAAATGGAATAGAGAAGAAACGAGGGCGATTCGAATCTGTGGAAGTAATATAGCCTATCCTAACTGTAAACGTCCGAACTGGTGAGAACAAAACTTGTTAACCATTCACATCAGTTTGCAATCACCTTTACCAGAAATCTGCTTGGACAAATGCGAAATTTAGCTTCAGTTGAGACGAGGTTGTAGGTGAAGGACACTTAGAGATTACGACATCAAAAACTGATTTGTAGGATCAGCTTGTTAGCCATAACGCTACAGTCCGTGTCACTTAAATTGAAGATATATCTTAGTTGAGAACAGTGTTGGTAGTGAAAATAAGCCAATTTTGTATGGTATCGTTCATAAAAAAAAAGCCAAATCTCATAAAAGTCTAATTTGCCAAAACCCCATCAATTCGGTGGCCATATTTGACACGTGACCTTGGCGCACGCGTAAAGGCTATGATAGCTTTCCAGTTTTGTAGCAGGTTTCTTTCATATATATATATATATATATATATATATATATATATATATATATATATATATATAAGGAAAAGAAATAGGTAAAAATAAGATGAAATAATTATGATGGAAATGCTGGTAATGGCAAAAATAAGAGTAAAAGTAGCATGAATAGAAAGGAGCAAAGAAAAGTAACGAAATCGAATTAAAAAAAGAAAATAGCCAGGACAACTGAGAGATTAAAAAGTAGGACGCCATAATGGAAAAAGAACATAAATGAAACAGCGGAATTCGATTACAGAAGAAACGGGAGTAGAAGGAGAGAAAAAAAAAAACGAGAAGGACTCGGCAGGATATGAAATAAGCAAAATGAATAAGGAGAGAAGTGAAAAAAAAACGAAAAGAAAAACATCCTGCCGTGTCGATGAAAGCTTAGGTTTGAAGATGGAACATTTGATGATACAGGCAATAAGAAATGAAGAATCAAAACTTTATGGCGACTGAAGATAGCGTTGAAGTGGAAAACTAACAGTCACACGGCATTGTTGATTCCGATGTTCACACTGCTAGTATCTATCTATCTATCTATCTATCTATCTATCTATCTATCTTTGCCTCTATTTCTCTCTGTCTTTCTTTTTAAGTTTGATCGAATCTCAGTTTCTTCATAACTATCAATCTCTCTATCAATCGAGCTATTGATTGATTGATATATTTTACGTTGTGGTGCTACAGCAATATTGTTATCTTAATCTATCTATCTATCTATCTATCTATTTTAGTCTATTCAATATCTATGTATGTATGCATGTATCCAACTACCTATTTTAGTCTATTCAATATCTATCTATCTATCTATCTATTTTGTCTATTCAATATATATGTATGTATGTATGTATCTATTTTAGTCTATTCAATATCTATCTATCTATTTTAGTGTATTCAATATCTATCTATCTATCTATCTATCTATCTATCTATCTACTTTAGTCTATTCAATATCTATCTATCTATGTATTATTGTCTATTCAATATGTATGTATGTATCTATCTATCTATTTTAGTCTATTCAATATCTATCTATCTATCTATCTATCTATCTACTTTAGTCTATTCAATATCTATCTATCTATGTATTCTTGTCTATTCAATATGTATGTATGTATCTATCTATCTATTTTAGTCTATTCAATATCTATCTATCTATCTATCTATCTATCTATTTTTGGTTATTCAATATGTATGTATGTATGTATCTATCTATCTATCTATCTATTTTAGTCTACTCAATATCTATCTGTCTATCTATCTATCTATCTATCTATCTATCTATCTATCTATCTATCTTCTATCTTTTTTTTTTTTTTTCTTTCTTTCTAAGTGTGTTTGAATCTAAGTGTGTTCATAACTATCAATCTATCCTTCAATTTATCAATCGAGTGATCGATATATATATATATATATATTACGTTGTGGTACTACGCCAATATTCCTTTCACTGCTTAAATTTGAACAGCGAGCAAATCGAATGTAGTATGGACTTTTGCCGCAACCCTTTTGTAATCCAATTTGCAAGCAGCAGACAAGAGAAGAGAATGTTTTTAGGCAACTCATTTCTCCCTTATGTAATTCTTTTTATCAATGGCGCTGATTGAAAGGCGCTGAATGGAAGCCATCCGTTCAATTCGTATTTTCACCGTGACTCTTCCCATCTGGTCTTTCCCAAATGGCCACTGGTTTTGTTGCAAACTTTCATGGCATTGTCAGCAGAACTTTTGCTTTTTTTTTTTTAGTTTTTAACCCCAGAAGCTATTCGCCTTGGACGAACGCCCAATAATAACACTTAAGGCCGTTACAAGATCTTCACGCGAGATTCTCAATCTTCTTCAGTTATAAGAGAAAAATGAACTTATTCCATCGTCATTTTCTATTTTATAACGCCATGTCTTTTTTGGGACAATGGCGATTGTAAATTCTGTTACATTTTTAACTGTGGATTTCCAGGACATCTTGGAAAATGTAGTTGTTCACAGTTTGTTCATATCTATCTAAATCTGTCTAGTCTCTATTTTAGTCTATTCAATATCTATGTATGTATATATGTATGTATGAATGTATGTATGTATGTCGGTAGGTAGCTAGCTTAGTCTGATCCAGTATCTATCTATCTATCTATCTATCTATCTATCTATCTATCTATCTATCTATCTATGTTCATTATCTATCTATCTATCTATCTATAGGAGTGTGTGTATGGATAGATAGATATTTCTTAGTCTGTTCACATCTATCTATCTATCTATCTATCTATCTATCTATCTATCTATCTATCTATCTATCTTTGCCTCTATTTCTTTCTGTCTTTCTTTTCAAGTCTGCTCAAATCTCTGTTTATTCATGACTATCAATATCTCTATCAATCGAGCTATTGATTGATTGATACATCTTATGTTGTGGACAACAATGTTGTTTTTACTGCTTTAATTCGAACAGCAAGTAAATCGAATATATTGATATCCGCTAAAAATAACGTTTAATGTAATAAAGGCTATCCATCTTACTCTATTCAGTATCTATCTATCTATCTATCTATCTATCTATCTATCTATCTATCTATCTATCTATCTATCTCAGACTGTCTATTATCTATCTATCTATCTATCTATCTATCTATCTATCTCAGACTGTCTATTATCTATCTATCTATCTATCTATCTATTTGTCTGTCTGGACGAACGCCCAATAATAACACTTAGGATCGTTACAATATCTTCACGCGAGATTCTCAATCTTCTTCAGTTATAAGAGAAAAATTAACTGATTCCATCGTCATTTTCTATTTTATAACGCCATGTCTTTTGGGGGACAAAGGCGATTGTAAATTCTGTTACATTGTTAACCGTGAATTTCCAGGCTATCTTGAGAAATATAGCTGTGCGGTCTCTCGTTGCTTTCCCCGCGGCTTCACAGTAGTCCGTTTACTAAATTAGCTGTCAATCAAGGCTAAAGAGCCCAGACTACCCTGATATTTAATCCACACCATGTGAAAAGGTGAATTGCCTTAATCGCTTTTGAAGATAATAGCTTCTCGTTGCTTTATCCGGCGTTTTGGTATTTAGATAATTTTTTTAATCCAGAGCTTCTCATCTCCTAGACTGGCTGCCAGCTAATGCTAGAGACTCCTATCTACCTTGCTATTTAATACATAGCTGGAGAAAAGGTGAATTGCCGCGATTTCTCGCGAAAGATAGTTGTTGTAAACTAGGGAAGGTTACTGAATAAAATAATCAAAAGAAGGTTGGCAATGAACGATAATACTTAGGACAAGAACAACACATATAAGATTTGCCAGCGGCACGTAGAAGTAGTCAACTGCTAGAAGTGAGTCAAGTGAATTCCACAATGAATATCCAACTGTAGAATATATACCAACCACCCCACGCGGTTAGTTGTGTCACAAGGCCAAATTTAATGGGAGTATCCGAGCCCGTAGGCTCGGTCAAAAATTCCCTCTAGACCCTGTATAAAAATGGGTCGGGTAACTGTCTCCCGAGACGAGACTATACACTTCGACGTAGCCTCGTCTGGGGATCCTCTCTGCCCGGAGGCAGAGTGTTTGACCAGCCCAGCCAGAGACGAATCTTCAACTGCAGGATATCTACCAACCACCCCACGCGTTCAGATGTAGCACAAGGCGAATTTGATGTTGGGTACCCGAGCCCATAGGCTCGGCCAAAAATCGTCCTTTGACAGGATTCGAACCTGTATCCTATACAGAACCGTCATATAGCCTGACGTGCTATGCTTATAATAAACAGTATTAAATAACATTTACCGGCCTGAATGTCCGAGAAATTTTCATAGAAAATATTCGTCCTTTGACAGGATTCGAACCTGTATCCTATACAGAACCGTCATATAGCCTGACGTGCTATGTTTATAATAAACAGTATTAAATAACATTTACCGGCCTGAATGTCCGAGAAATTTTCATAGAAAATATTCGTCCTTTGACAGGATTCGAACCTGTATCCTATACAGAACCGTCATATAGCCTGACGTGCTATGTTTATAATAAACAGTATTAAATAAAATTTACCGGCCTGAATGCCCTAGAAATTTTCACAGAAAATATTCCTCCTCCGACCTGTATCTTATACGGAAGCGTCATATAGCTTGGCGTGCCTTAACCGATTGGGCCACAGAGGAGCGTTCGGTTAGCAAGGTCGATTTTACTGTTTTTAATCTTTAATCTTCCATGAATCACGTACATTCATATCTGCTCGATGCGTATCCAAATGTAAACAAATGACGTCACACATTATGAAATGGACAAAGTCCGACAATTATTTTTAAGACATTTTTATATTTTATATATATCAAAATAAATTAAATAATGTAATGCACAGTTTTAACTCAGCACATGAAGATTGCGTTCAGCATGAATCACAGAGTTGGGCTACCGGTGTGGAAAAAAATGTATATTTATTATATTTCTATATAATATACATTAATTTCTATTAAATGCTTCATGACACGTAAAGAAGCGTTAATACGAACTATAAATGTGATTAACATCTGATTTGTAATTACGGCGTTGTCACCATATATTGCAGAGAAAAGTAATCCTGCAAATAATTACTAATATAACGAATAAAATATTTCTTTGATAATTGTTCTTTCGGTACATTTCCTTGATTTTATAATGGGATATATATATATTTTTATATATGCGATGTTCGGTATGGCTTAAAGGTTATCAACGCGGACAAAGAAATCGGAGAACGGAATTTGAATTCAAGTCGGGTTCGTTAAGTTAACTCGCAGATGACTAATAAAATCAATGAAGTTTTTCCCATCGTTGATTTTTTTTCATACCGACTGTACCTCTATAAGGAATTCGAATAAAAGTTAAGAGAGGCAGAGTACCATATGCATGCATGCATCTATCTATCTATCTATCTATCTATCTATCTATCTATCTATCTATCTATCTAATTCAGTCTGTTCGTATCTATCTAATTCAGTCTGTTCGTATCTATCTATCTATCTATCTGATTGAGTCTGTTCGTATCTATCTATCTATCTATCTATCTATCTATCTATGGAATTCAGTCTGTTCGTATCTATCTATCTATCTATCTATCTATCTATGTAATTCAGTCTGTTCGTGTCTATCTATCTATCTATCTATCTATCTAATTCAGTTTGTTCGTATCTATCTATCTATCTATCTATCTATCTATCTATCTATCTATAAATGTAATTCAGTCTGTTCGTATCTATCTATCTATCTATCTATCTATCTATCTATCTATCTATCTATCTATCTATTTTTCATGTGTCTCTAGCTTCTGTCTGATAAAACTCCGATCATTTCCCGGAGCGCCCCCCTTTCTCAAACAATGATTGACAGAAGCCGTCGCAATTTCTCCGGAAATGGCTGTCAGAATCGGACATTTCAGCATTTTCGATTTCGACATTTAAAAACGAAACGGGATCTGAGAAAAAGCAAGACAGGAACAACGAAAACTAAAACAAAAACGAAAACTAAAACAAAAACGAAACACGCAGGAAAAAAAAAAACCCCAAAAAACACGTAAACTAAACCAAGTCTCACGTGAGGAAATAAATTGAATAAAATAACAATTGATTTAATTGGCGGCAAACATTTTGATTAAGCAAATATTTTGGAAACGTTATGAAAATACTGGAATATATAAGAATCAACAGATATATATAGGAATCAACGGATATATATATATATACATACATATATATATATATATACATACATACATATATATATATATATATATATATATATATATATATATATATATATATATATATATATATAAACACGCTCTATCTCTGATATTGAGCACTTTATCCCATAAATATAGCACAGCTTAAGACTATATTTCTTCATATATATATATATATATATATATATATATATATATATATATATATATGTAGGAATCAGTTATAAATATATGTATATATATATATATATAAACATATTTGTAGGAATCAATTATATATATACACATGTAGGAATCGATTATATAAATATATATACATGTAGGAAGCAATTATATATATACGGGCATGTAGGAATCAATTATATATACATATACATACATGTAGGAATCAATTATATATATACATATGTAAGAATCAATTATATATATATATATATATATATATATATATATATATATATATAGACACACACATGTACGAATCGATTATATATATATATATATATATATATATATATATATATATATATATACACATGTAGGGATCAATTATGTATATACATACAGGAATCATTTATATATATACACCCATCTATGAATCAATTATTTATATATACACACATGTAGGAATCAATTATATATATATATATATATATATATATATATATATATATATATATATATATATAATTGATTATATTAGTCTAGATTATCCTGAATTTGATTTCAGTTGAGCACTCTGGGAGTGAGGTGTGGGTTGGTAAACAGTGACTATTATAGCTAATATAGCGAGACTCTTCGCGTAAGCGAATTGAGTCACTGTCAGTCACTGGGCATGTTTACAAAAAATAAATACGCTAAAAATCTACCTCCATTCCGACGGCTTAGTGGTTAGAAGCTCCGACTGACACCAATTCAGTCGGGTTTCGATCTAGCCGCACTGATGAGCTGTAAACAGCGAAACAGTCTGTCTGTGGATGACATTATATATATATATAACTTAACGAAACACAAGAACTTATCGCAATATATTAAGTGTTGTGACAGAGTAAATACCCAGTATTGTTCTCTCCTTTAACAAACGAAACGAACTTATGATAGCATGCAGTCATAGAGAAAACCTCTCCTCAAGTAACCCATCATATACAGTCTTAATACATTTACATGTTTCTAATATTTCACATCTCTCTAATGTTTTCATATGTCTCTGATATTTTCACATGTTTCTAATATTTTCTCATGTCTCTAATATTTCACATGTCTCAAATACTTTCACATGTCTCTAATATTTTCACATCTCTAATGTTAAACATGTTTCTAACAGTTTCACATCTCTAATATTTCACATGTCTGTAATATTGTTCGTTATACATTGGTTACACACGTGACAGTAGTTGACGTGATTTTCAGTTAACAGTATGAAAATAGCTTCATCTAAATTCTTCCAGTTGCTAAGGTTTGGTTTCGTTTGTTTTACGGCATATCAACCTCAATGGGTTATTTAATGCCGACAAAATTTTTAGGATAGATTCATATGAATAGAATATGTATTCTTTGGTTTAGATTGATTTGGTTTATTTTGTTTTACGGCATATCAACCTCAATAGGTTATTTAATGCCGACAACATTTTTAGGATAGATTTGTATGAATTGAATATGTATTCTTTGGTTTAGATTGGTTTGGTTTATTTTGTTTTACGGCATATCAACCTCAATAGGTTATTTAATGCCGACAACATTTTTAGGATAGATTCGTATGAATAGAATATGTATTCTTTGGTTTAGATTGGTTTCGTTTATTTTGTTTTACGACATATCAACCTCAATGGGTTATTTAATGCCGACAAAATTTTTAGGATAGATTTGTATGAATAGAATATGTATTCTTTGGTTTAGATTGGTTTGGTTTATTTTGTTTTAAGGCATATCAACCTCAATGGGTTATTTAATGATGACAACATTTTTTAGGATAGATTCGTATGAATAGA